AAGGTCAGCGGAGAAGGAAGCGCCGCGGTGAGGTGTGTGCGGAGGGGGACGACAGGACAGCGTCCTGAGACAGGCTGGGGCGAGGCCCCGCTGGCCGAGCGAGGGGGTTGGCACAGTGACTTCTGTAACGGCACAAGGGAGGCAGCCAGGGACGATGGGCGTTTTCTTTCGCGTGCATTTGTTTTAACCCTCTAGGTGAGATTGTCACCGCTTGTGTGTGTCATATGTCAGGACAGGGAAACGTTCCGGTTTTTATGGTGACCACCAGTGGGAATGAAGTATTTTCTGGTGCGACACAAACTCCTTTCCTGGTACCCCAGTACCTTGGTGAACCCCTGTGGTAGGGTGTGAGCGGGGGACCGGGCTCAGTCACCAGGTGAGACTGTCGTCCCCTGCTGCAGTGTGGCCATTGTCGAGAGACCACCGTCTCACTGGGCTTGAGCCACTTCGAAAGCAAACAAACTTACTATTGTCTGCGTTTGGTAACTTCTAGATTGCTGTTAATTGTGTTGGGGAATGGGGACTCTACAGATTTCTATTAGGTGTTACCGAGAGGTGAACGATAGAGGTCATCTCAGTTTCTCGAGGCTACTAAATGGCTTTAAAAGCCTTTTATGGTGTAAAAGCATCTGAGGGAAAAAGTATTGTGGGAAAGTGTAATTCCACCCTTTCTTAGTGAAAACGGCTTCAGAGAAGCAAGTCGAGGTGAGTAATGGATACGTCCCAGCACCAGAGGACAACGGGTCTGTGTGAGACAAGAGCTGAGGGGGCTGGGGGGCCGCTGACCCACGGCCACCCGTCCCCAAGGAACGGCCTGGAAAGTGTTGTCTCTGCTGATTATTATTGACCTTTTCAAGGGGCCATAACTCACGGTCCCCCCTCTGCATTTACGGGGTGATCAAACCAGGCTTTTCAATTTGTCACTGCGCTTTTATTTTTCAGTTAGTTGACATCCAGATTTTATTAGTTTCAGGTGTACAGCATAGTGGTTAGATGTTTATACAATTTACAGAGTGATTCCCCATTCAGCCTGGCGCCATCAGCCCCATATATAGTTAATACAGTTATTGCCTATGTTCCCAATGCTGTGCTTTCCAACCCCAGGACTATTTTGTAACTTCCAATCTGTACTTCTTAACCTTTTTCATCCAACTCCCCCATCCCACCTGGCAGTCAGCAGTTTGTCCTCTGTAGATGGGTGTCTGTCTGTCTTGATTTGGTTCCTTAGCTTCCACATATCAGTGAGGCCATAGGCTGCTCGTCTGACTTTTTCACTTAGCCTAACACCTTCCCCGTCCATCCACGTTGTCGCGATGGTAAGATCTCGTCCTTTCTTATGGCCTCAGACGTTTCTAAAAGGGCTTTCCCATACTTTTTCTAAGTCAGGCCGCTCATTTAATTGACATCTCAGCTATGCGTTTTCATTGTTGGGGGTGCATGTGGTGTGCAGAGAAGTTATTTTAACTTTGCGGGGTAAAGATGTCTCTTATAGCTTACAGCAGACATCTTTTAATCGCTTTCGAGGTAAGTTATCTGTTTTCAAGAGTTGGTAAATCTTACGCTTTCAGGAAAAAATAACCTTGTAGGATGGCTTTGGGTAAAGGGTGAAATAAAAAGCATACACACTGACGGGTGTGAATTTGCGTATAGAGAACCGCGTGCACAGGCAGTCACCCGCTGAGCACTTAGGGAGCCCTCAGAGTTTAATTTTAACATGAGCCCCCGGTACTGCCCAGCGGTTTATAAAGTGACTGTGACAGCCTGGGTTCCAGGACTGCAAGATTTCCTTGTCACCTGCTTGAGCATGTTTAAAGAAAGAAGTATGGAAAAAAGTCAGGCAGCAGTTGGCAGTGCCCATCCAAACACGAACCAGAGAAGAGAGGAGCCGTGGCCAAGACGTTAGACCGGTGCGTTGCGTCGCGTCTGCAAGGACTTTGCGTTTATAAAGTGACTGTGACAGCCTGGGTTCCAGGACTGCAAGATTTCCTTGTCACCTGCTTGAGCATGTTTAAAGAAAGAAGTATGGAAAAAAGTCAGGCAGCAGTTGGCAGTGCCCATCCAAACACGAACCAGAGGGGAGAGGAGCCGTGGCCGAGACGTTAGACCGGTGCGTTGCGTCGCGTCTGCAAGGACTTTGTGGGCAGCAGTGCGGGGCCTGCAGGCAGCGGCGCGTGTGGCTTCATTGGAAAGACCGTCCCTGAGGAAATGGCTGCCTCGGGCTCGGTGAGCCTCGTGGCGCATCAGAGATTGGGTTCATCTCACGCCCTTGCCCAGATGCCACGGGCACCAGTAACTTCGTTTTGGTTGAGCTTCCGGTGGGGGCCTACCAGCAAGGAGAGCAGGCGCTGGTGACATCGGTGGTTGTTAAAGAGAATCGGCCTCCTGGCGTTATACGTCAGTCTTCTGTGAGCTTTGGTGGCGCTGTGAGTCTGCCCCAGGGGGTGGCTCTCCCAGTGCTGGTGGAATCGAGCTGGTAAGAGGAGACGTGGGGTAGTCGCTGAGCACGTAGGGGGAGGGGGACGTGGTGGGAATATGATCGTGTGGTAGTTTGTCCCGCTGCTTCAATGTCCTTTTTATCGAAATACCGCGTTTTTAATATTCGGTGATATTAACCAGAGTGTAAAATTTTTGTATTTATCAATTGGAGGAATGACAGGGCGAACCTGGGGTGAGGGGGACGTGCAGGAAGGTGGTGGGGGAAATAGATCTAGGCAGGCAGGTAAAAGGGAACCGGAAGCGGGGGGAGTACCTGCTCCGAGTGTCCAGCGTCAGGTGTAAACCGCCTTCCCCCCATGTCCTCATGTGGCCTTTCTCATCTGTATTCAAGAGGAGACAGGGAACTCGTCATAATGACACAGGTTCCATCCCAAGTGTCCCACCCCCGTGATCTACCTACTTACCTCCCAGAGGCGGCTCCCGAAAATACCAGCACGTTAAACCTTCAGTCCATGAGCGTGTGGCACACACGTTTGTTTAGTCCGTAATAGCGTGTATGTGGCCGCACACTGACCTGATGATTGAAGGTGAAAGGTGAAGTCTTTCGCACAGCGCTGGCCTGTGAACTGAGCTCACGTTTCTGGGATGAATTAGAAGTCTCTAGAAATCATTTTCATTCCATAACTGTCTGCCTCTTGTTAAGATTTAATGGTTTTGGTTAAAACAAGAGAAGCATCCTAGGCTAGATGACTTCTCCACTCACTTTCCAAAAGCCAAAATTCCAAAGTTTTTCATAGAAGAATGGGAATTAGAATAATCTTCCTAATTGTTGATAGGAAATTAACAGTTCATGAGTTTACTGGTTCTTACCACTTATTCATTCGGTTCCACGACTGTATATTGCGTGCCAGCCCCGTGCAGAGACAGGTGTCCCAGCGCGCAGACCAGATTCTGTGTGTTCACAGAATTGGAGTGTGGTCCCCTATGGGACCGCGAGGTCCTGCAGGCCGGTGGCATAGTGCCTCTCCAGCCCATTCCGTCACCTTTTTAGACTCTTTCGCTCTGGTTCTCCTTTGCTGATGGGTGGTCTCCGTAGAAACTACCTTCTGATGCTGCTACAAAGCAGCTGCCCTCGTCGACATTTGTTTTCAGGGACTCTCCATGGCGCTGCTTCTACCCCTAGCCAGCTTCCTAAGATTGGAGTGAGGCTCTGAAGTTCGGACTAATAAATAGCAGTCTCCTAACAAGAAGTTATTGCTCAGGCCATCATGAAGAGAGCAATTAAAGAGGGCAGTATGTATTTTTAACAATTAAGGATAATTGCTTTTCAGCCCTTCGTGGGAGGGGACAGGAAGGAAAGTGTGCAGGTGCCATGCTGTGGCGTCGCCAAGAGCTCAGGTCCCCGGGGGGGTGGTTCTCCCTCGTAAACGTGAGAGGTCACACTGTCAGCGCCTGCCCATGTGCAGAGAGAGCCAGCTGCAGTGGGCGACCTTGACCTTACCTGTTGACATGAAACGTGGCTGATAGGGGAGGAGGCCACAGGATGTCCGTGACCTGGGCTGAGATGTGGCGTGCCTGGAAGGAGGTGCTGTCCCTGGGCGCCCTAGCTGTGCCCTTCCCGGACCCCTGGCCCTGCGGCCATCACCAGCTTGTGCTGCACTGTTTCTTCCTCACTCCCCCCAAGGTCTCCCCACGAAATAATGTGATTATTATAAACAATCCTAAAGTACTCAGAAAAATAAAAGTCCCGAGACTGAGAGCCACAGAGAGCTGTCCCGTCTGGCCTCCGATGCCTCTGGGAAGGGCTCCGGGCCAGTCACTTTGTAAAGCGCAACGTCAGCCACAGACACGGCCCTAACCAGGAGGTTTCAGTGAGTCCTTGATGGAGGATCATGAAACACACGGTAGCTGCAGATTCTCCTCTGACAGTGTAAGTAATTTATCACATATTAAGTATATGTAAATGCTTTCATAGAGTATTAGACATACCAGTCGGTCTTAGTGATATAAGTCGTGTTTCAGGTATGCCGCGTAATTTGAATATGCAGATTAGCTGCGGTGGTCAGCAGCCCCGCCCCCCCCGGCACTGCGAATCTCCCCTCAGTGTTCACAGCAGCAGGAGCAGTGCTGTCATTAGGGAAGTCCCAACTGTTTAACCTTTATGGCCACCAAAACAGTATAAAGAATGGTGTATGTTAACATAAACACTTTTCGGCAATATTCTTTTTCCCTGAGGAGTGGAATGTGCTTTCACTTACTCAAAGCCTCGTAAATCTATTTAAAAGAAAGAGAGAAAAGCCGAAGCTGACTGTAGATTTTTGTTAAGTCCTCCCTTAACATCGTCGCTAGGTTCTGTGACTTTAACTTAAATGATGTATAACGAGACCAGTTTTACCACCGGCTGATGTCCATAAACACGAGTTCCTGGGGCATCTCATCAACGCTGTCACTCAGTGATGTCCAGTGAGCATCACTCGAGGACCCGCCGTGTATGCTCACCGTGAGGAATGAGCCTGCACGCCTCATTTCTATCACCTTCCTTTCCGCTTGTCATTTTTCCCCAGGCCCAGATTATATCAAGCAGAGATCTCAGGAAGGTATAGACGCTAAAGAAAATCCAGAAGAAAAGGTACCGGAGAAGCCACCTACCCCAAAGGAATCTCCTCATTTTTATCGCAAAGGCACGACACCCCCAAGGTCTCCCGAGGCAAGTCTCAAACAAAGCCACTCTCCCCCGCCCTCCCCAAAGCCCACGCGGAAGCAGAACCCCAGCTCGGGGGCCAGACTCAACCGAGACAAACGGAGTGTGGCTGACGAGCAGGTGGCAGCCGTCGTCAACAAACCCTTGATGGCGAAGGCTCCCTCGAAGGAGGCGGGAGCCGCCGCACCCTCGTCCAAGTACAGTGGCCGCCACCACGTCCCCAACCCCAGCAACGGGGAGCTGCACTCTCAGTACCACGGCTACTACGTGAAACTGAACGCCCCCAAGCACCCTCCGGAAGACGGGGAGGAAGACGGAGGGTCCAGCCACCCTTCCTCAGCACTGGTGCACAAGCCGTCACCCAACAAATGGAGCCCCCCTAAATCTGTGACAAAACCAGTTGCCAAAGAAAGCAAAGCTGAGCCAAAAGCTAAGAAGTCTGAACTCGCTATACCAAAGAACCAAGCAAGCAACGATTCGTGCCCACCGTCGGAAAAAGAAGCCAATTCGGTAAGTCATGCGGAACGGGCTGTCCCGTCCCTTCCCTTCCCCTCCCTGGTTCTTGCAGGTGGCAGCGGGGCGGGGGTGACTTGCACCTTGATGTCGGCTGGGCTAGCAGAAGTCCCGACACACACAGGCCGTTTAGAGCGGATCTAAGCGCATTTGTAGCTGGAGACAGGAAAGAGCTCTTTGGGCAGAAATCGCTCCATGGTCACTGAGCCGCACCCCCACCCCCCTTAGATTCAGGGGCGTTAAGACAGGACCAGCGTGTCACAGCGTCCCGTGTGCGCAGGCCCTTGCGAGCCCTTCCGGCGAGCTTCCCCGCAGCCTAGTTCCGGCTGCAGCAGCAGACGTTTCTCCTCTCAGGTCTGCAGGCGGGGGTGGGGGCTCAAACAAGGCACCAGGAGGCTTGGTGAGGACCCACTTCCTGCTCATAGGCCACAGGCCACCCTCTCACCGTGTCCCTCCTCGTAAGGGTGCTCATCGCATCGTGGGGGCACCACCCTCGTGACCTAAGTCCTCCCAGAGTCCCATCACACTGGACGGACACGGACATGCCGTCCAGAGCGATAGCGAACGCTGATGGCCACACAGGAGCCCCCGCCCGGCCACGCCGAGCGCTAAGAATGGGGCTCACCGCCGTTGGCTAAGTCCTCAGCCCCACCTCGTCCCCACCAAACTGTCCAGCTATTGCGAATTAGTCTCATAAATATTTAGTTTAGGTTTTACTTAAAACGTTCTAGCTGCAAAGCCTGGATAATTTCTTTCCCATACGAGAACTGAACATTTTCAGCTGTTTAAGAAAATGACTTTGGTCTTCGATCCCCGCAGCCCGTCAGTGCTCCTGAAATTTCAGTTTTCTTATTCAACCCGAAAACATCCAGTTATTATCTATATCCTCCTCGTCCCAGTGAGATTTGATGGCGATATATGGAATTAGTATTCTACGAAATTCAGTAGAATTTATGAAATCTGAATCTAAGTATTTTCTGATAAATAATGGACTGACTTGTTCATTCGCCTTTGCAACAGACGTGCTGCCTGTTAATCGTAGCTTAGGGAAGACGCGACCGCCAGCCTAACGTTTACTAGTAATTTCAGAGACGTGTCCGCATCAAGGTGTGGACTGATATCTCGGCCAACAAGAGTATAACACACCCATTAGTTTCTTTGTTCAACTTACTCAGAGTTAAGCAATTAAAATTCATCATTTAATTAACTTACGTTTGAAATTCCTTAGGTTTGTTTTGCTAATATCTGTAAATACTGGTTCCCACCCTTTTTCAAATTCTTTTTAATTATCTAAATATCAATCAGATTAACTGGATTAACTTTCTGAGCGTCAACCTCCATGGGGATAGATGGTTTTCAAAACAAACTCTGACTATTCAGTAAGCATTCTTTTTTTTTCTAATTTTAACATTGATATTTCAGTATCTTGTTATTATACCTCTAATATAATAATAATATCACTGTTGAATTCATTAAATGTAATAAATCATTCACTTCTTATTTGGCTTTCAGCATTTATAGTCTCAGGTTAATAAAGCCTCTCATGTATATTAGCATTGCCTGAGTTATAGGTGGACATTCAAACAGTGCAGTGCCCTGTAGTTTACGCCTTCGGGTTCCCAGAAGTGGGGTTCAGGTGACTTCTAGAACTGCCCAAAGGGAAGCCTGTGCCCCAGCGTCCTGCACCGTAGGCGAGTTCCCAAGCTCTTGTCTGCGAGAGCCTTTCTATAAACTTCACAGTCTCCTCATTTAGAAAAAGCATCTGTTCTACTTACGTGCAGAATCGTGCGATTCCTGGAGTTAGCCAAGCATCCTCCAGCTCCACGGGTGGGTCTCTGGGATTCCCTTCCACACCCCAAGGCGGGAGGAGGCCGAGCAGCTCTCACCTCCGGGAGATGGGATCTGGAAGTCAAGACCGACTTGGCACCTTCTTGGGAAGACTCTAAAAGTTCACCTTCTCGTCCCAATAATAGCAGAAAACTGCCTTCTTCGCAAAAAAAGCTATAACATCATCACGAAAGTAGTCACTGAATGGCCTTTAAAACAAAGGAGTCCTGAGGTTAGAGGTTTGTAAGTACCGTGAAAATTCACAGAAACATTCACACTAAAGCAGATATTTGAGAGGAAACTAGACTGCATCAGGGTCCAGTCTGAGTCAGAATGGCCGTTTGTAGCATGGCTCGCTGAGCTGGACCTGGAATTTCAGTGAAGCAGCTTATTGAGACAGTAAAGGCTAGTGGCCGAGGGTGTGAACTGTGGCGCCAGATTTCCTAGGCTCAGAGCTTAGCTGTGTGGCCACCTGGAACAGGTTTCCTAACTGCTCTGTGACTGGGTTTCTTCTGTACCTGTATCAGAGTTGTTAAGATTAAATGAGGTAACATTTATAAAGTTCTTAACCTGGTGCCTAGCACACAGTAAATACTCAAAAAACATCAATAGTTATTAAGTTTTTCAACACTGTACCAGTCGAAGCATAGTTTATAGATATAGCACATCGTCACATAATGTCATCAGTAGGTTCTTGAAAACTGACTTCAGGGGAGACAAAGCGTAACGGAACAAAGTAGACCCCAGGCTAATTGACAGAAACGAGCGTTAAGTTCCTCCTGCGTATTTCTGTTCACGAAAACATCACCAAACTTTAAAATAAGGACCCGAAACACTTCTAATAGCGAACACTGAAATAAATGCAAGCTGCACACACATTTAAGAAAGGTGATTAAACACAAGTGAGGTCACTCTTTTCCACCCCACTTAGTTCAGTTCGAGGTCATGGTGTCCAGAGCCAGTCCCGCAGCTCAGGGTACCAGGCGGGACCCACCTGGACAGACGCCCTTCCGTCGCAGGGCCACTCACAGCCTCACGCAGACAGGGACAATGGAGACACGCCAGTGCACCCCATGTGCATCTCTCTGGGATGGAGGAGGAAACCAGTTTAGCTAGAAAACACCCACAGACATGGGAGAGTGGGAAAACACAGACAGTGGTCCCAGCCGGAGTCGACTTATCCATTTTATAACAAAACCATGTTCAACAAAACGGCATTCGAGTCCCTGCTGTATCTCAGTGGACTCTAACCCATCCTCAGCATCACCCTGGCTTTTGACCCCCTAGAAAGGCAGAATATCTTCTGGGACACAGGCTCACGCCCTTGAACAGGCGCGGGCAGAGAAGGGGCTACGGCAGGGATTAGTCTGCAGCCCTCCTCGAATCCGGGCGACTCCTGTGGGCGGGGGTTGCATGTGGACTCACATCCCAGGAAAGCATGTTCTGTGACGCCGCGATTTTGGGAGGATTTTGCAACACACTGACTCCGGTAGAAGCCAGTAGTGGCATCTTTAGAGCCTTATCAGATATACTGGTGAGGGGTCTTCTAATTAGGACTGCAAACTGCCTGCACTTTTTTCTTAGCCATTACTCTAATCAGCTTCCAAGTTTATTTTGAGATTTACCTGTTATTTCTTTTAAATCATAAAACTTAAGGCATTCC